AAATCAATGCTATCTCAAACCTATTAAACGTTGAAGAAAATTTGGGAAGAGTTGTCAAAATCTATCTAATAAGTATACGATTGGATTGATAAGGAAAACTAATCATACTTAAACCTCATTAATGAAAACACCAATCTAGCTGAATCCTCTTACACTGATATAGAAAAATTAGTAAACATTGTAGAAAGATCAACTTTAAATGATTGGAATGCTTAGAAGAATTCTTATATGAAGGAGCTAGATAAGACAAAGAGCTGGTGGGACCAACATAGAAAGGGTTTTATTGAGAAGTCTAACTAAGGAATCGAATATATTTAATAATTAGTTAAGTAAGAATTAGAAATCATATCTCTCTTTTTGAAATGTTAACCTACCTCCAGGATATAGATGAATCTCTCTATAAGAAGATTCATTAAATATAACAAGAGAGAAAGTTTCAGATATCTTAGGATTCCTTTCGAAGACAAATAATCAACGCTTTTTTGAATCATTAATCAACACATAAGCTAATCTTAAGGATGTCAAGAAGTAAGTAAAAAAAATCACAGAAATTCTGTAGAATATTTTGGATCATATCATAAATTTAATAAAGAGGACTTCTCTTCTGAGACTTATGAAAAGGCAAGATCAGACCTAATAAAAAGGATGAAGGATAACAAAGGGATCATAGATTTTATCAAGTTTTTAGTTCTCCTCACAAGAAATGACGGTAAATTTATTCAATGTGGATCGAATGCTTTAAACTTGAATGGAGATATGAGGAACAAATCATTAAATAATATAAGGATGTAAAATACTTCTTTAATTGAAGTGAACTTTGTAAGATGTAACTTAAGTGGGTCTGAGCTTGATAATGTAGATATTAGTGGATTAAATTCGAATCGTGCTTTAATTTTTAATTGCAAATGGAAAAAATTGAAAATCAAATGAACTGCATAAATTTGATAGTCATGATGAACCTATTTCATCAGTTTGTTTCTCCCTTTACAAAAAATATTAGCATCTGGTGGAGGTAGTATGTATGGAGGTGGCGGCAAGTCTATCCGTCTATGGGATGTCAAAACAGGATAATAAAAAGCCAAATTAGATGGTCATAGTAATTAAGTTTGATCAGTCTGTTTCTCTCCTGATGGAAATACAGTAGCTTTTGGTTGTGAAGCTAAGTCTATCCTTCCATTATATCAAAAACAAGTATTTTTCAGATTATAGATTTATAGAAATTTAAGTAAAAATGCAAGATATCCTTTTTTTAACACACTTTTGAAGAAAAATAATATATAAATAATTTAGATACATCTAATAATATGGTTTACCGAAACTTCAATTTTTAATTTTTCAAGGTTTCAGAGAGTTTTTTATAAACAACCGTTTTATTTTAAGAGAATTATTGGGTCCAATTTATCTTAGGAGGTTGTTATAGAGAAGATAAATTTTTTTAAGATTGTCCATTGTGTTTATCAACACCAAAAATTATTTCCTTTTTAATTCTACAATTTAGGTGCAATTTCATAATTTAATTGTAAAATATAACCATTAATCAGTTTTTAAAGACTTAAGGAATATTATTTTTGAATAGATATTAATTAATTTTGTAAAAATTATTTTGAAGGGACAACAGTGATAATACATTGAGTAATAAGTGTTTATTATTTGATGTATGTAAAATTTCATGTTGAGCTCAAGTTAATCAATAATTAAGATTCATATATAATACGGTTAGAGAAGATATAATTATCTCCTTAAATCTTAATAATTTCAAAATTATAATATTTTTTAATATTTTTTCAAAGTTTTTTAATATCTTATCAATTAACAGGGGATTGATACATTATCTTGAATTGAGAGTAATATTAAAATTAATTAATATCATATTGTTAACTTTGTTATCTAGTTTAGATTATATTCTAAGATTAACTTTATTTTTTTAATTCTTGTCATATCTTTTTTATTATTATCTTTGTTATTAAATATATCTTTTATTATTTATAAACTAATTTTACAAAATTATTAATTATATCTATTAAGACTTATGTTTATAAA